GCCAAGAGAACACCTTTGTTTTCAAACCTGTTATCTTTACATTAATTCCTATTATTTCCAGGGATACATAACATCCTGAAATATATGAAGAGTTTATATCCAAACACTATAGCCACACATTTTTAACAGTTGTGTTGATTTAGTCATCACAAATTTTTTTTCATGTTGTGTGTAAAATATTACTGTTCTCAGATTTTTAATTCATAGATTTTAGATGTGTATTAAAATGTATTTATTTTTTTGCTATATATCCATTGTTTAGCTGGAATGGAATTTTCTAATCCTGTATTATTGACTGTGATATATGTGGTTGTCTCACCTAGCTATCTTGAGATGAATGCGTAAGTCACTCTGGATAAGAGCATCTGCTAAATGACTAAAATGTCAAATGTAAATGTTTTATATACATATCTCATATTACTGTATTACTGCATATTTATGTCACAAATATTTGTACAGTTACTTATTACAAATGTAGTTATTTGTTACATTTGACTGTGTAAAAGCTAGCAGTAATACTTATTTATCTGAGAGTGAGGCGGATATACAGTTACAGTCAAAAGTTTGGACACACCTACTCATTCCAGGGTTTTTCTTTATTTTTAATATTTTCTACATTGTAGAATAATAGTGAAGACATCAAAACTATGAAATAACACATATGGAATCATGTAGTAATCAAAACATTGTTAAACAATTCAAAATATATTTTATATTTGAGATTCTTCAAATAGCCACCCTTTGCCTTCATGACAGCTTTGCACGCTCTTGGCATTCTCTCAACCAGCTTCACCTGGAAAACTTTTCCAACAGTCTTGAAGGAGTTCCCGCATATGCTGAGCACTTGTTGGCTGATTTTCCTTCACACTGCGGTCCGGCTCATCCCAAACCATCTCAATTGGGTTGAGGTCGGGGGATTGTGGAAGCCAGGTCATCTGATGCAGCACTCCATCGCTCTCCTTCTTGGTAAAATAGCCCTTACACAGCCTGGAGGTGTGTTGGGTCATTGTCCTGTTAAAAAACAAATGATAATCCCACTAAGCCCAAACCAGATGGGATGGCATATCGCTGCAGAATGCTGTGGTAGCCATTCTGGTTAAGTGTGCCTTGAATTCTAAATAAATCACAGACAGTGTCACCAGCAAGGCACCCCCACACCACCTCCTCCATGCTTTACGGTGGGAACCACACATGCAGAGATCATCCGTTCACCCACACCGCGTCTCACAAAGACATGGCAGTTGGAAGTAAAAATCTCCAATTTGGACTCCAGACCAAAGGACACATTTCCACCTGTCTAATGTCCATTGCTCGTGTTTCTTGGCCCAAGCAAGTCTCTTCTTCTTATTGGTGTCCTTTAGTAGTGGTTTCTTTGCATCAATTTGACCATGAAGGCCTGATTCACACAGTTGATGTTGAGATGTGTTTGTTTCTTGAACTCTGTGAAGCATTTATTTGGGCTGCAATTTCTGAGCCTGGTAACTCTAATGAAAAAGCTCTGGGTCTTCCTTTCCTTTGACGGTCCTCATGAGAGCCAGTTTCATCATAGGGCTTGATAGTTTTGAGGATCTGAGGGCCCATGCCAAATATTTTCAGCCTCCTGAGGGGGAAGAGGCGTTGTTGTGCCTTCTTCACGACTGTGTTGGTGTGTGTGGACAATGACAATTCCTTAGTTATATGGACACCAAGGAACTTGAAGCTCCTCGTCCTGCTCCTCTACAGCCCCGTCGATGTGGATGGGGACGTGTTCGGCCCTCCTTTTCCTGTAGTCCACGAACATCTCCTTTGTCTTGCTGACGTTGGGGGAGAGGTTGTTGTCCTGGCACCACACTGCCAGGTCTCTGACCTCCTCCCTATAGGCTGTCTCAACGTCGTCGGTGGTCAGGCCAACCACTGTTGTGTCGTCAGCAAACTTAATGATGGTTTTTGAGTTGTGCGCAGTCGTGAGTGAACAAGGGACTACAGGAGGGGACTAAGCACGCACCGCTGAGGGGCGTCCGTGTTGATGATCAGTATGGCGGATGTGTTGTTGCCTACCCTCACCACCTGGGGGCGGCCCATCAGGAAGTCCAGGATCCAGTTGCAGAGGGAGTTTTTCAGTCCCAAGGTCCTGAGCTTAATGATGATCTTGGAGGGCACTATGGTGTTGAATGCTGAGCTATAGTCAATGAACAGCATTCTCATGTAGATTGCATCATCTGTGGATCTGTTGTGGCGGTATGCGAATTGGAGTGGGTCCAGGGTGTCTGGGATGATGGTGTTGATGTGAGCCATGACCAGCCTTTCAAAGTGTTTCATTGCTGAGGATGTGAGTGCTACGGGGCGATATTCATTTAGACAGGTTACCTTGGCATTCTTGGGCACAGGGACTATGGTGGTCTGCTTGAAACATGTAGGTATTACAGATTGGGTCAGGGAGCTTTGAAAAAGTCAGTGAAGTCACTTGCCAACTGGTCAGCGCATGCTCTGAGTACGTGACCTGGTAATCCGTCTGGCCCTGCGGCCTTGCGAATGTTAACCTGTTTAACCTGGTCTTACTCACATCGGCTATGGTCATCCAGTCGTCCGGAATAGCTAGTGCTCTCATACAAGGTTTAGTGTTGCTTGCCTCTGTATGCATAAAAGGAATTTAGCTCGTCTGGTAGGCCCGCGTCGCTGGGCAGCTCGCGGCTGGGTTTCCCTTTGTAATCCGTGATAGTTTGCAAGCCTTGCTACATCCGATGAGCATCAGAGCCGCCGTAGTAGGATTCAATCTTAGTCCAGTGTTGATGTTTTGACTGCTAGATGGCTTGATGGAGATCATAGTGGGATTTGTTATAAGCATCCGGATTAGTGTCCCATCATTGAAAACTGCAGCTCTAGCCTTTAGCTCAGTGCAGATGTTGCCTATTATCCATGGCTTCTGGTTGGGATATGTACATACGGTCACTGTGGGAACAACGTCGTCGATGCACTCGTCGTCGATCCGTATTGAGCTCTTCACTGGTACATCCTATTTGGGTTTTTGCTTGTAAGCAGGAATCCGGAGGATAGCGTTATGGTCAGATTTGCCAAATGGAGGGCAAGGGAGAGCTTTGTATGCGTTTCTGTGTGTGGAGTAAAGGTTGTCTAGAGTTTTCTTCGCCTCTAGTTGCACAGGTGACATGCTGGTGAAAATGAGGTAAGACTGATTTCAGTTTCCCTGCATTAAAACCACCGGCCACTAGGAGTGCCGCCTCTGGATGTGCATTTTCTTGTTTGCTTATGGCCCTATACAGTTTGTTGAGTGCGATCTTAGTGCCAGCATCGGTTTGTGGTGGTAAATAGAGAGCTAAGAATAATATAGATTAAAACTCTCTTGGTAAATAGTGTAGTCTGCAGCTTATCATGAGGCATTCTAACTTAGGTGAGCAAAACCTCGATACTTCCTTAACATTAAAGATTGTGCACTAGCTGTTGTTAACAGAGACACACACCTCCCCCTTAACCTTACCCGAAGCTGCCGTTAGGTCTTGACGATGCATAGAAAACCAGCTAGATGTATATTATCCATGTCGTTGTTCAGCCACGTCTCTGAGAAACATAGGATTTTACAGTTCTTCAGGTCCCGTTGATAGGAAAGTCTTGATCGGAGCTCGTCAAGTTTGTTCTCTAGTGATTGTACACTACCGTTCAAAAGTTTAGGGTCACTCTGCCTAGGTCAGCATCCCGGAGTCACCTCTTCACTGTTGACTTTGAGACTGGTGTTTTGCAGGTACTATTTAATGAAGCTGCCATTTGAGGACCTGTGAGGCGTCTGTTTCTCAAACTAGACACTAATGTATTTGTCCTCTTCCTCAGTTGTGCACCGGGGCCTCCCACTCCTCTTTCTATTCTGGTTAGAGACGGTTTGAGCTGTTCTGTGAAGGGAGTAGTACACAGCGTTGTACGAGATCTTCAGTTTCTTAGCAATTTCTCGCATGGAATAGCCTTCATTTCTCAGAACAAGAATAGACTGACGAGTTTCAGAAGAAAAGTTATTTGTTTCTGGCCATTTTGATTCTTTATTCGAACTGCTGACGCTCCAGATACTCAACTAGTCTCAAGAAGGCCAGTTTTATTGCTTCTTTAATCAGCACAACCGTTTTCAGCTGTGCTAACATAATTGCAAAAGGGTTTTCTAATGATCAATTAGCCTTTTAAAATGATAAACTTGGATTAGCAAACACAACTTGCCATTGGAACACAGGACTGATGGTTGCTGATAATGGGCCTCAGTACGCCTATGTAGATATTCCATAAAAAATCTGCCGTTTCCAGCTACAATAGCTATTTATAACATTAACAATGGCTACACTGTATTTCTGATCAATTTGATGTTATTTTAATGGACCAAAAAATTGGAAAACAAGGACATTTCTAAGTGACCCCAAACTTTTGAACGGTAGTGTACGTTCGCCATTAGAACGGAGGGTAGAGGCGATTTATTTACTCGCCGATGTAGTCTCGTCAGGGAACCTGCACGTTTGCCTTCTCTTGCACCGTCGCTTTCAAATCCCTGGGATTAGGGCCTGGTCTGGAATGAGCAGTACATCCATAGACTCAAAATAGAATATGTTTTCATGGTACGTTAACTGCACTGTAAGCACTGTGTGTTAATATTGAAGTCATGTCTCAGTTCTCCTCGGAGTACACTGCGTACATCTGTAGTGTCATACCACAGACTGTTACTCAACGTTTTTGGCGTGTCTACTAACTTTGACCACAAGGAGGCAGCAATGAGTCACTGATGAAACAAAAACGTGTGCTGCCTATGATACTGTATAACCATATCACAATGGGATCTCCTGGTTGAATAGACGTTGACTTGATAGTTAATATATCAGTAAGGATATATCATAATATAATGATTGATAAAATAATTTAATATCAGATACAGTATAGAAAAGCTGCTATTGTATCTTACGTGCAAAAGGAGCAGGGAAAGGAGGCTCAGCATGATTTCAACCCCCTTACGAAACACTAGAAATGGTCTGCCCCTCTACAGAAGAGTAGAAATCGTCTCATCCCTACCCCCTGATCCCCCCCAGGAACCAAATCCCTGTGACGCCATTGGACGAAACCATGATGGGCAGCAAGAACAGCCAATCAGACGGCTGGAGCAGCGAGGATGAGGATGATGAGACATTTGAAGCTAATGGTCATGAGACCATGTCACCCTTCTCAGGTACAGGGTCAGGGGAGGGCGGCCGGTCCAAATCCTAAGTCTGACGGGAAAATGTGTTGCCTTTGTGCCTTTGAGCAAGGAACTTTCCCCTAAACTGCTCCAGAGCTCTGCACCATGGGTTATTCTTTTTCTAGCACTGTTAAATGGTTGGTTTTCGAAAACCTAACTACAGTGCATCGGTCCCATATTTATAATCATGAAGAACTTATTCCCTCTCCTCTCTCCAGGTCCACCTATAGTATCAGAAGAAGAGTTGGTCAGCCTAGCCATGATCAGTCCAGCTAAGACCAGTCAATACGCTGGGTCCAGAGTGAAAGCCCTCATACAGATACTACAACATCAACTAGACCAGCAAGAACTGGTCCGAGAGTTCATGGTGGGTATACACTGTGTGTTCCTCATTCATACACATGCACACACACACTAATGAAGTATGTTAACCATGTCATGCAACTTGGTCTGCCTTTTCAATAGCAGCAGAAAACATTTTCAGTTTGTTTCAGGCCTTGGAGCATCTAAAGCCGTCTGATAACTGTCTGGTGGGGAAAGCTCCGGAGAACCGGGAGAAGAACCGCTACCGGGACATCCTGCCCTGTAAGTCCCTGTTAAACCGGTATAACTACAGTCCCTTTCATGCTTCTGTGTAGTCTGCACTGGAACCATCTAATCTGGGCTGGAAAGGACAGCTGCGGGCAAAATTGACACACAACGTGTTAGTTACGTAATTTTCTGGTTGTAAGATTACAACCTAATGGTCCCTGTTGCAACCAGATAATTACGTATTTTTCATGACGATATCAAGACGTTATATTTTGGTTGTTTTCTGGTCATATAATAGTTATGGTGGCTAAAAGATGTCAGCAAAACATCCTTATACAACCTGAAGGTTATACTACAAAGGAGGTTCAATTAGTTTTTCTGTATTTTTAAGTTGTATATCTTGAAAACTTTATTGTTGACATGCAAAACATTTTGGGACTATATCAACAATGGACTAATGAAACAAATTCCAAAATATAGTTTTTGGGTGGAATTGTCCTTTAAATTTGATAATCAACCAGAAAAAACTATTTATTTTCTGGTTCATTGAGAAAGCTAAACTTAGATATGAGTTTAGTTTTTTTGAGTCAATTAGACCATGCCCATTTCAAGGTCAAGGCCATCTTCAAAAAAAATAAAGTCAACGTGTTTCAGAATATTTTGTCAAGTTAGCTGGCTAACTAATTTATGCTGCTTTGTAGTATACCCCTCTGAACATAAAGACATACAATTTCAACCAGTTTTGCTAGCTGGGCAGTGGTCACTCAAGTCTTATCCCTTATTTTATGAGTTCCCATACACACATGTAACTCCGATTTCCGTGGTAATTTACATCTGTGTGCCCTGCTAGTGAGGAGCATTTGGTTACGTGTGTGTGTGTGTGTGTGTCGGGGGCAACGTGCATGCTCCGCCCACCTGAGAATCTCTCCTTTTCAGCCATCTATTTCCTTTGTTTGAGGGATGCAAAATCCACTTGTCACTTAAATCTCGCTGGATTCATTGCTTTCATTTTACTCTGGTGACTCTTTCCCACTCTTGCTTGTGCCATTCATTTCTTTCTTGTTAACAAACGACTGTGGAAACGTTTGTAATGACCTGTCAAATACACTCCGGTTATGGCTGAAATGGGCTCAATGGAATACATTGGTTAAACGTTGCATCTATAATAACGACCACTTCGTTGGGGATTTAACTCAGCGTCTCGACACTTACATCACAAGAAAGAGAAGAAAGTTAACTTTATTTTAGTGGGTGTGGATTCTTTTGTGCAATTGAAAAAAGTAATGATTTAATACAGTTGAAATGTTTACAAATTAGATTTGCTGAAATGAAAGCAACATCCACACTCGGATTATAGTGATATTATGTCTGATCTCGCAAACAATGTAAAGTATGTATAGATAGGTGTAATCTAGAGTCAAGCGTTTAGATTTTAAATCTGTGGGCATCCTTCTCTTGACATACTTGTCACGTTCTCTGGCATAATTCAACAACAGTAATTCATTAGGCAGACTAGAATGCGCAGGTGAGTGCAGGTAGGCCAAGACAGAGCAAGTTTCTGGTGGTTGCAGCCCTGGTCCACCCCTTTATATTAATTTATAAATGTATGCAAAGACATCCAGTGTATACAGTGGGTATCAGAAATATTCATTGGATTTCTTCACATTTTATTGTGTTACAACGTGGGATTAAAATTGATTTAATTGTCATTTGTTATCAATGATCTACACAAAATACTATTAATGAAAAATAAAACACTAATATACTGTACCTTGATTAGATATGTGTTCACCCCCATGAGTCAATACATGTTAGAAACACATTTGGCAGTGATTATAGCTGTGAGTCTTCTTGGGTAAGTCTCTAAGAGCTTTGCACACCTAGATTGTGCAATATTTGCCCATTATTCTTTTCGGAATTCTTCAAGCTCAAGGTGTTGGGGATCATGGCTAGACAGCAATTTCCAAGTCTTTCCATACAGTTTCAAGCAGATTTAAGTTAAAACTAACTTGGCAACTCAGGAACATTCACTGTCTTCTTGGTAAGTAACCCTTATGTTGTAGGTTATTGTCCTGCTGAAAGGTGAGTTCCTCTCCCAGTGTCTGGTGTAAAGCAGACTGAAACAGCTATTCCTCTAGGATTTTGCCTGTGCTTAGCTCCGTCCCGTGTCTTTTTATCCTGAAAAACTCCCCAGTCTTTGCCGATATCAAGCATACCCATACCATGATGCAGCCACCACCATCCTTGAAAATAAGGAGGTAAAGGTCTGGGTACCAAACTTCCTTCATATTTACTCCTGAAGTCTGGGGTGACAATCTAACACCCTTATTTGAAAGGTGTTAGATTGCTGATGCTATGTATTGGCCAATGAGAGGCTTTGAAACCACCATATTGGTACTCCTCAGAAGGAGCAGTCCTCCATAGGAATTAATAGAATTCTACAGTATTTCTACAATATCTCCTGCATCGACAACGTCGTTTCCACAGTGACCGTACTCAGTGATGTATTGTGCTGGATTTGGCCCAAACATACAGTGAGGGATTTGATCCCCTGCTGATTTTGTACATTTGCCCACTGACAAAGACATGATCAGTCTATAATTTTAATGGTAGATTTATTTGAACAGTGAGAGACAGAATAACAACAAAAAAATCCAGAAAAACGTATGTCAAAACGTTTATAAATTGTTTTGCATTTTAATGAGGGAAATAAGTATTTGACCCCTCTGCAAAACATGACTTAGTACTTGGTGGCAAAACCCTTGTTTGCAATCACAGAGGTCAGACGTTTCTTGTAGTTGGCCACCAGGTTTGCACACATCTCGGGAGGGATTTTGTCCCACTCCTCTTTGCAGATCTTCTCCAAGTCATTATGGTTTCGAGGCTAACGTTTGGCAACTCGAACCTTCAGCTCCCTCCACAGATTTTCTATGGGATTAAGGTCTGGAGACTGGCTAGGCCACTCCAGGACGTTAATGTGCTTCTTCTTGAGCCACTCATTTGTTGCCTTGACCGTGTGTTTTGGGTCATTGTCATGCTGTAATACCCATCCATGACCAATTTTCAATGTCTTGGCTGAGGGAAGGAGGTTCTCACCCAAGATTTGACGGTACATGGCCCCGTCCATCGTCCCTTTGAGGCGGTGAAGTTGTCCTGTCCCCTTAGCAGAAAAACACCCCCAAAGCATAATGTTTCCACCTCCATGTTTGACGGTGGGGATGGTGTTCTTGGGGTCATAGGCAGCATTCCTCCTCCTCCAAACACGGCGAGTTGAGTTGATTTTATAGAGCTCCATTTTGGTCTCATCTGACCACAACACTTTCACCCAGTTCTCCTCTGAATCATTCAGATGTTCATTGGCAAACTTCAGACGGGCCTGTATATGTGCTTTCTTGAGCAGGGGGACCTTGCGGGCGCTGCAGGATTTCAGTCCTTCACGGCGTAGTGTGTTACCAATTGTTTTCTTGGTGACTATGATCCCAGCTGCCTTGAGTTCATTGACAAGATCCTCCGGTGTGGTTCTGGGCCGATTCCTCACCGTTCTCATGATCATTGCAACTCCACGAGGTGAGATCTTGCATGGAGCCCCAGGCCGAGGGAGATTGACAGTTATTTTGTGTTTCTTCCATTTGCGAATAATCGCACCAACTGTTGTCACCTTCTCACCAAGCTGCTTGGCGATGGTCTTGTAGCCCATTCCAGCCTTGTGTAGGTCTACAATCTTGTCCCTGACATCCTTGGAGAGCTCTTTGGTATTGGCCATGGTGGATAGTTTGGAATCTGATTGATTGATTGCTTCTGTGGACAGGTGTCTTTTATACAGGTAACAAACTGAGATTAGGAGCACTCCCTTTAAGAGTGTGCTCCTAATCTCAGCTCGTTACCTGTATAAAAGACACCTGGGAGCCAGAAATCGTTCTTATTGAGAGGGGGTCAAATACTTATTTCCCTCATTAAAATGCAAATCAATTTATAACATTTTTGACATGCGTTTTTCTGGAATTTTTTTATGTTATTCTGTCTCTTACTGTTCAAATAAACCTACCATTAAAATTATAGACTGATAAGTTCTTTGTCAGTGGGCAAACATACAAAATCAGCAGGGGATCAAATACTTTTTTCCCTCACTGTAAGGCTTTGCTTTTAGGCTAAAAAGTGTATTCCTTTGCCGTGTTTTGTTTGTTGTTGCAATATTACTTTAGTGCCTTGTTGCATACAGGATGCATCTGTATATTTTTCTTCTTCTTATCATTATTGTGGAGTCACTACAATGTTGTTGATCAATCCTCCGTTTTCTCCCATCACAGCCAACGAACTCCGTAGCTGTTTTAAAATCACCAATAGCCTCATGGTGACATCCCTGAGCAGTTTCCTTCCTCTCCTGCAGCTCAGTTCAGAAGAACGACTGTATCTTTGATGTGTCTAGGTGGTTTAATACATCATCCACAGTATAATTATTAACTTGACCATGCTAAAAGAGATATTCAGTGTCTGATTTGTTATTGTTGCCGATCTACCAATCACTGGCCTTCTTTATTTCTTTAAGGTTTTCGAAAATGTTGCTGGTCTTTGTAGTTGAATGAATCTGTGCTTGAAATGCAGTACTTGACTGCGGGACCTTACAGATGTTGTATGTGTGGGGGACAGAGGAAGGGGTAGTCATTCAGAAAATAATTTCAACCCATATTATTTCACACAGAGTGTGTCCATGTAACTTACTATTTGATTTGTTAAAAGCCCAGTGCAGTCAAGAATGTGATTTTCTTGTGTTTTATATACAGTATAGTTCCACACTATGAGGTTGGAATAATACTGTGAAATTGTGAAAATGATGATAATGCCCTTTTACTGTAGGAGCTGTTTGAAAAGACTGCCTGAAATTTCTGCCTGTTTTGATGTGATTGAGTTTTGGCCTGCCTGGTGACATCACAAGGCGGTAAATTAGTTAATAGACCAATAAGAAAGAGAGTTGCAGACCTCTCTGCCAATAAAAGCTAGTTTTCCATTTTCCCCTCCCCACTTAGACCAATCCCGGACAGTCCTAGCAAAATCCTTGCTTGAGAAATTGCTCTTTGCTAAGAAGTTTTTTTTAACCATTTTAATTTAAAACAATCACAGTAAGGTACTTCATTGTTACCCAGAAACAATTTGATATTGAGATCAAAATGGCTGCATTGGACCTTTAAGCCAAATGTTATTCCTGAACTAATTTAGGCTTGCCTAAACAAAGGGGGTGAATACTTATTTGAGTTATTTCAATTTTATTCATTTGTAAAAATGTGTAGAATTTTCTTTTCATTTTGACATTATGGAGTATTTTGTGTAGATCAATGACAAATAAATCACAATTAAATCTATTTCAATCCCACTTTGTAATGCAACACACCCAAATGAGGCCCATACAATCTTCTTTATAAACATAAATTCAAAATAACTTCACAGATCTTCATGTAAAGGGTTTAAACACTGTTTCCCATGCTTGTTCAATGAACCATAAACAATTAATGAACATGCACCTGTGGAACGGTCGTTAAGACACTAACAGCTTACAGATGGTAGGCAATTAAGGTCACAGTTATGAAAACTTAGGACACTAAATAGGCCTTTCTACTGACTGTAAAACACCAAAAGAAAGATGCCCAGGGTCCCTGCTCATCTGCGTGAACGTGCCTTAGGCATGCTGCAAGGAGGCATAAGGACTGCAGATGTGGCCATGGCAATAAATTGCAATGTCCGTGCTGTGAGATGCCTAAGACAGCGCTACAGGGAGACAGGACGGACAGCTGATCATCCTCGCAGTGGCAGACCACGTGTAACAACATCTGCACAGGATCGGCACATCCGAACATCACACCTGCGGGACAGGTACAGGATGGCAACAACAACTGCCCGAGTTACACCAGGAACACACAATCCCTCCATCAGTGCTCAGACTGTCCGCAATAGGCTGAGAGGCTGGACTGAGGTCTTGTAGGCCTGTTGTAAGGCAGGTCCTCACCAGACATCTCCGGCAACAACGTCGCCTATGGGCACAAACCCACTGTCGCTGGACCAGACAGGACTGGCAAAAAGTGCTCTTCACTGACGAGTCGCGGTTTTGTTTCACCTGGGGTGATGGTCGGATTTGCATTTATCGTCGAAGGAATGAGCGTTACACCGAGGCCTGTGCTCTGGAGCGGGATCGTTTTGGAGGTGGAGCGTCCGTCATGGTCTGGGGCAGTGTGTCACAGCATCATCGGACTGAGCTTGTCATTGCAGGCAATCTCAACGCTGTGTGTTACAGGGAAGATATCCTCCTCCCTCATGTGGTACCCTTCCTGCAGGCTCATCCTGACATGACCCTCCAGCATGACAATGCCACCAGCCATACTGCTCGTTCTGCGCATGATTTCCTGAAAGACAGGAATGTCAGTGTTCTGCCATGGCCAGCGGAGAGCCCGGATCTCAATCCCATTGAGCATGTCTGGGACCTGTTGGATCGGAGGGTGAGGGCTAGGGCCATTCCCCCCCAGAAATGTCAGGGAACTTGCAGGTGCCTTGGTGGAAGTGTGGGGTAACATCTCACAGCAAGAACTGGCAAATCTGGTGCAGTCCATGAGGAGGAGATGCACTGCAGTACTTAATGCAGCTGGTGGCCACACCAGATACTGACTGTTACTTTTGATTTTGACCCCCCTTTGTTCAGGGACACATTATTCCATTTCTGTTAGTCACATGTCTGAGGAACTTGTTCAGTTTATGTCTCAGTTGTTGAATCTTGTTATGTTCATACAAATATTTACACATGTTAAGTTTGCTGAAAATAAACGCAGTTGACAGTGAGAGGACGTTTATTTTTTTGCTGAGTTTATAAGTATAAACAATTACAATAAATGGAATACCTGAATTCCCACCAAAATTAATTATTTGTGTGTGGCAGTACAATGTTTTATGTTCTATAATTCAGTCAATATCGGATGGATTTTTTTTTTCAAAAAGTTTGGAGTATCTTCATCCATTGTCCAACTGTTGCCTTTATTCAAATACTTTTTAAACCTTTTGACAATTTCGATGCCTGTTGCTAGTGTGTGTGTGTGTGTGTGTGTGTGTGTGTGTGTGTGTGTGTGTGTGTGTGTGTGTGCGCGTGACCAGTACAAGCTTTGTTTTGGCAGCATCATCAGAGTTTTATTTCACTAAGTAGGTTCAATGAGCCAGCAAACTCTGATCAACAAACACATAAACAAGACCCCCTGTGAGATAGACCACAACATTCCTCTCTTTCTCTTCTCTCTCTATCTATCACTCCTCTCCTCTCTTCTCACCCATCATTTACTCCCCAGTGCCCTATTAATTTATTCCGTGTTTTCTCCTCTGTCATTTACTCTGTAGTATTTACTAGTCCCTGGACTGGACTGTTCCTGGGAAAACAACAACACTGCATTGTTAGACTGTAGATTAACAACACTGTTGGCCAGTGGCACACACTGGTCTCCTCATAAAACAGTGTGTGTGTTTGTGCGTGCATGCAAGTAACTGCCAAAATATAGGAAACACCAACATAAAGTGGCTTAATAGGGTGTTGGGCCTCCACTAGCCAGAACAGCTTCAATGCACCTTGGCATATATTTTACCTTGGCATACAAGTGTCTGGATCTCTACTCATTTACTGAAGTGTTTCCATTATTTTGGCAGTTACCTGTATATCTCTGACCTGAATGTGTTTTCTGGGAAATGCTGTTTTATTGTTCTATTTTGGAAAACGACTGAGGAATGTGTGTTTCACTGGACGTTCCATGGGGGAAAAAATGTGGTGTACAACCGTAATCAGCAGAATAATGTTTGTTCTAAACCTCCTAAAATGGTTTATGGGTACAGTGCCTTCGGAAAGTATTCAGACCCCTTTACTTTTTCCACATTTTGTTACGTTACAGCCTTATTCTAAAATGTATTAAATTGTTTTTTTCCTCATCAATCTACACACAATACCCCATAACTGGTTTTTAGAAATTGTTACTAATTTATAAAAAAATAAAAAATAAAATATTTACATAAGTATTCAGACCCTTTACTCAGTACTTTGTTGAAGCACCTTTGGCAGCGATTACAGCATAGAGTCTTCTTGGGTATGACCCTACAAGCTTGGCACACCTGTATTTGGGGTGTTTCTCCCATTCTTCTCTGCAGATCCTCTCAAGCTCTGTCAGGTTGGATGGGGAGTGTTGCTGCACAGCTATTTTCAGGTCTCTCCAAAGATGTTTGATCGGGTTCAAGTCTGGCTGTGCCACTCAAGGACATTCAGATTCTTGTCCCGAAGCCACTCCTGCATTGTCTTGGCTGTGTGCTTAGGGTCGTTGTCCTGTTGGAAGGTGAACATTCGCCCCAGTCTGAGGTCCTGAGCACTCTGGAGCAGGTTTTCATCAAGGATCTCTCTGTACTTTGCTCCGTTAATCTTTTCCTCGATACTGACTAGTCTCCCGGTCCCTGCCGCTGATGCTGCCACCACCATGCTTCACCATAGGGATGGTGCCAGGTTTCCTCCAGATGTGACGCTTGGCATTCAGGCCAAAGAGTTCAAATTTGGTTTCATCAGACCAGAGAATCTTGTTTCTTTAGGTGCCTTTTGGAAAACTCCAAGCGGACTGTCATGTGTCTTTTACTGAGGAGTGGCTTCCGTCTGGCCACTCTACCATAAAGGCCTGATTGGTGGAGTGCTGCAGAGATGGTTGTCCTTCTGTAAGGTTCTCCCATCTCCACAGAGGAACTCTAGAGCTCTGTCAGAGTGACCATCGGGTTCTTGGTCACCTCCCTGGCCAATGCCCTTCTCCCCCTGATTGCTCAGTTTGGCCAGGCGACCAGCTCTAGGAAGAGTCTTGGTGATTCCAAACTTCTTTCATTTAAGAATGATGGAGGCCACTGTGTTCTTGGGGACCTTCAATGCTGCAGAAATGTTTTGGTACCCTTCCCCAGGTCTGTGCCTCGACATGATCCTGTCTCTGAGCTCTATGGACAATTATTTCGACCTCATGGCTTGGTTTTTGCTCTGACATCCACTGTCAACTGTGGGACCTTATATAGACATGTGTGTGCCTTTCCAAATCATGTCCAATCAATTGAATTTACCACAGGTGGACTCCAATCAAGTTGTAGAAACATCTCAAGGATGATCAATGGAATCAGGATGCATCTGAGTCTCATAGCAAAGGGTCTGAATACTTATGTAAATAAGATATTTCTGTTTTTAATTTTTAATACATTTGCACACATTTCAAAAAAACTGTTTTTGCTTTGTCATTATGGAGTATTGTGTGTGGATTGCTGAGGACATTTTTATATTTAATCCATTTTAGAATAAGCCTGTAACGTAACAAAATGTGGGAAAAGTCAAGGGGTCTGAGTACTTTCTGTCTGCAGAGTTAACTGCTGTAATCAGGAAACATGGTTCGGGAATGTCATGAAACTGACCAGAGAGTATATTGCTGTCCCCTATTCTACTCATCTATCTACGGACGCATTCTCGTGTTTCTAACTCACATCGTGGTTTTTATTTTTGTATAATTTTTTATTAGATTTTCTATTATTATTACTATTATTATTATTATTACTGCATTGTTGCGAAAGAGCTCTCAAGATAAGAATTTCACTGTACTGTTTTACACCTGATGCATCCTGTGCACGTGGCGAATACACTTTGAAACTTGAAACATACACACACATACATAGCAGGACTATATCAATGCCAGTTATGTCCAACTAACTCTTCTCCCTCTCTCTCTCGCTCCCTTTCTCTCTCCCCCTGCTCTCTAGATGATAAGACGCGTGTTCCAGTGGGTGATAATCAGGACTATATTAATGCCAGTTATATCCATATGGAGGTTGGCAGTGATGAGTTCATCTATATCTCCTGCCAGGGTCCTCTGCCCTCCACCGTGCCCGACTTCTGGCAGATGGTCTGGGAGAACAGGTCTGTGGCATTAGTGTATACACAAAAGTTTCCGACAGACATCGTTTCGATCGAAAACGTTTTGCAGAGGAAAATGAGAAATTCTGTTTCAGTCCGTTTTCTTCTGTATGGTGCCTAATGAACACGACCCTGGTGTGTCAGCGCTGACCTGTAACTAAGGTCTTATAGTCTGAATAGTACAACATCGTTAACAACCGTCCTTCCCCACTCCCCAGGTCTGATGTGATAGCCATGATGACCCAGGAGGTGGAGAGAGGCAGGGTGAAGTGTCACCGCTACTGGCCAGAGAGGGTGAGCTGTCCCCTAGACACGGGACGCTTCCAGCTCAGCCTGGAGAACCAGCAGATCATGGAATACTTCCACATCAAGATCATCCGCATGGTGGAGAAAGAGGTGAAGGAGGGACGATAAATAGAGGGGACGGAGAAGATACTAAAAAGCTTAAATGTAAAGCATGAATTAGCATGAGTACAATGTCTATTTTTTTGTGTCTACTAAATCCAATGAAAGTCGTTTTGAAGGATACACTATCTCTCATTTCAATTCAGTTTTTCATCAGCCACTGTCATCTCCGCTGTCTCTTAGATGGTTTAGGCCCTGGTCTCCTTTATGACAAAACACATTTGTAAAATTGTACAATTTGGAATTTGATTGATCAGTTGATTGATATCTGTTCCCTCCTCCTGTTCCAGTCTGGGGAGACCCACTTTGTCCGTCACCTGAAGTTTATCCGTTGGCCTGACCACGGTGTGCCGCAGTGTTCAGAGCAGCTGGTCAGATTTATCCGCTACCTCCGAGCGGTCCACCATAAAGGACCTGTTACTGTTCACTGTAGTGCTGGGATAGGACGAACAGGAGTACTGATCTGCACCGATGTCATCCTGAGTCTCATAGAGAACGATCTCCCGGTGAGTTAGATAGAGCACACAGGTGCGCACCAATGATGTATAAACACTAGATTGCTGATGCTATGTATTGGCCAGTGAGAGGCTTTGAAGCCACCATATTGGTACTCCTCAGAAGGAGCAGTCCTCCATAGGAATTAATAGAATTCTACAGTATTTCAATTTAATGTTTCAATTTAATTGAAGTATTTCTTTGTTGTAGTGGGGATGTTAAAAGTATGCATTACGGTGTCTGTAATATAATATATTAGCAAACAATTATGTAGAAATTAATAAATGCATTTCTATTTTTTTCAAAACCTTTTTTACAATGGCTTTCGAAACAGTGCCTCTGGTCAGTTATCTAGTGTTTTATATACATAATTGGTGCACACCCAGACACAAACACATGCATGCATGCACACGCTCACACACACTCCTTACCTCAAATACGGATACAAACTATGCTCTTCACTTGGTGTTCTTAAAAGTCCTTGTGTATATCAGAGAGATACCTGTACTAACCTCCATGTACCTAACTCCTTGTCTTTCTCTGTCCACAGATCAACATCAGTAACATTGTGAGGGAGATGAGACTGCAGCGATACGGCATGATTCAGACCAAGGTCAGTACAGTAGGCCCACCAGTCAGAGGTTAGTGTCAGGGGTCACGGGTCAAACATTTGATTAGCCATTCAGGCTACCATTGATCCTTTGTCTATGGCTTCCGTAAGCCTATCCACTATTGTTTCCTACATAATCAGATATGAAATGAAATTACACATATTCCACAAACCCAGTTTGAGTAGTGGTTCTTTAGTCCTACTAACCTGGGGTGGGTTTCCCAAAGCCTTCATAGCTAAATTCATGTCACTCAACCACCCAGCCACTGAGCCCTGAAAGAGTAACAATTATAAAAATCTATGTTTGACGGTCAATCATCTATGCATGATTCAAATATAATTTGTAAAATAAAGCACTTTGCGGTTCGAGTGGCGCGAGTCTGGATGGTCGAAAGAAAGTATGTTAGCTACGAAGCTGACGGGGAACCCACCCCCATGGTTAATGACAGTGTGTGAATAGAGTTAGTGGACCCTCACAGCGCTAGAGAGAGAGACAGAAGCTACAGTTGAAGTCGGAAGTTTACATACACTTAGGTTGGAGTAATTAAAACTTGTTTTTCAACCACTCCACAAATTTCTTGTTAACAAACTATAGTTTTGGCAAGTCGGTTAGGACATCTACTTTGTGCATGACACAAGTAATCTTTCCAACAATTGTTTACAGTCAGATTATTTCACTTATAATTCACTGTATCACAATTCCAGTGGGTCAGAAGTTTAAATACACTAAGTTGACTGTGCCTTTAAACAGCTTGGAAAATTCCAGAAAATGATTTCATGGCTTTAGAAGCTTCTGATAGGCTAATTGACATCATTTGAGTCAATTGGAGGTGTACCTGTGGATGTATTTCAAGGCCTACCTTCAAACTCAGTGCCTCTTTGCTTGACATCATGGGAAAATCAAAAGAAATCAGCCAAGACCTCAGAAATAAAATTGTAGACCTCCACAAGTCTGGTTCATCCTTGGGAGAAATTTCCAAACGCCTGAAGGTACCACGTTCATCTGTACAAACAATAGTACGCAGGTATAAACACCTAATACCGCTCAGGAAGGAGACGCGTTCTGTCTCCTAGAGATGAACGTACTTTGGTGCGAAAAGTGGAAATCAATCCCAGAACAACAGCAAAGGACCTTGTGAAGATGCTGGAGGAAACAGGTACAAAAGCATCTATATCCACAGTAAAACGAGTCCTATATCGACATAACCTGAAAGGCCGCTCAGCAGGGAAGAAGCCGCTGCTCCAAAACCGCCATAAAAAAGCCAGACTACGGTTTGCAACTGCACATGGGGACAGAGATTGTACTTTTTGGAGAAATGTCCTCTGGTCTGATGAAACAAAAATAGAACTGTTTGGCCATAATGACCATCGTTATGTTTGGAGGAAAAAGGGGGTCGCTTGCAAGCCGAAGAACACCATCCCAACCATGACACACGGGGGTGGCAGCATCATGTTGTGGGGTGCTTTGCTGCAGGAGGGACTGGTGCACTTCACAAAATATATGACATCATGAGGAAGGAAAATGATGTGGATATATTGAAGCAACATCTCAAGACATCAGTCAGGAAGTTAAAGCTTGGTCGCAAATGGGTCTTCTAAATCGACGATGACCCCAAGCATACTTCCAAAGTTGTGGCAAAATGGCTTAAGGACAACAAAGTCAAGGTATTGGAGTGGCCATGACAAAGCCCTGACCTCAATCCTATAGAACATTTGTGGGCAGAACTGAAAAAGCATGTGCGAGCAAGGAGGCCTACAAACCTGATTCAGTTACACCATCTCTGTCAGGAGGAATGGGCCAAAATTCACCCGACTTATTGTGGGAAGCTTGTGGAAGGCTACCCGAAACGTTTGACCCAAGTTAAACAATTTAAAGGCAATGCTACCAAATACTAATTGAGTGTATATAAACTTCTGACCCTCTGGGAATGTGATGAAAGAAATAAAAGCTGAAATAAATCATTCTCTCTACTATTATTCTGACATTTTACATTCTTAAAATGAAGTGGTGATCCTAACTGACCTAAGACAGGGAATTTTTACTAGGATTAAATGTCAGGAATTGTGAAAAACTGAGTTTAAATGTATTTGGCTAAGGTGTATGTAAACTTCAGACTTCAACTGTATTTCCCCCTAACCACTAATGTACCACATCATAAGTAATTATAACATCCTATAATTATCTGACTACAGTCGGCTCTTTACTGCACTGTGTTTGTGTGTGTGTGTGTGTGTGTGTGCGTGCGTACGCGTTTGTGTGTGACCAGTGCATGAGCATTTGGGTATGTGTGTAGTAACATCTCTGTTTTGTCTCTGGTTATAGGAACAGTACCTGTTCTGCTACAAGGTATGGTTGGAGGTTCTACATCACATCCTGCAGCTGCACGGTAACCAATGGCAACCAGAGAGCCCCCGCGAACTTAATATGAGCCCTCGCGCACACAGTAACCGATGGCAACCTGAGAACCCCTGTGAAGATAATCCATTTGTTTGACCAGTTACTTGCCCCCCCCCGTTAGCAGTTGATTTTGTTATGAACACTGTATATGTATATGTTTTAGCCAATTCCTTTGTTTGTTTGATGTCATGCCAAACATGACTATTCAGAGTTGGCTAAAGCACATATAAATGGGAAGACCAAGCAACAGTATGTTTCTGCAGGGTTTTGATATTTGGGTTATGAATTTATTGATGTAGGTAGACATTTTTACAGTTGGTTCTTTTGTGTTTTTTCTAGATGACAGTGGCTGATGAAAAACTTAACTGAAATGAGAGATACTGTGATTATAGTATTGGTTTGAGTTAGATCAATGATATGACAGCCTTTATGGGTTTAGTGATTGCCTTCTGTGTTAAGTTAGGAGTGTTTTGGTTGTGGGATTTTTGAAGGGTATTACTATTTAAATTGTTATATTTAATCTTTCCATATTTTATTTTAGTAACTTAATGTATATATATTTTCACAATTGTACTGCATGCATAATATCAATTATAACCTAAATACATTTAATAGCACCACAGCACATCACTAACCAATGATGTCACTGCTAATTGCAATGCACAGTGTAAGGTGTATTATACCAAAATGTATATTAGAATATCTTTAAATATGTAGCTAATATATAGAGTTTATGAAATATTGTGTTTAAATATTGTGAAATAAGTGCATGTAAATCATTTGAGTTTTGTCCATGACTGAAACCAGAAGTGAATAGAATCAAGTGCCTTGGAAAGACTTGCAGCTTTATGTCACACTGATTAATAATAGTTATGTAGTGTGAATCCAAACATGCGATCTTGCAGTGCGAAGAGACTCATATTTTGTTTGTTTCACCTCCGGAAACCTGAAAACCAGGTTTGATTGAACAGGACCCTGAGTACACATGCTCTGTGTGATTCTGTAAGGAATCTCTGTCTGATACTTTCACAGGTTTTTGTTCATATCTTGTTGTCCCACAACTTGGATTCACTGTATGTGAGTTCTGCAGTACAATAGTAGTGAAACTATCTTCAATTTGCAGTCTGTCTACAACCACTGAACAAGTGCTTAGGGGTTTGAAATGTAATGACAGTCAAATGCACAAAAATATACTGTATTTCTTATTACATTTTAGTCATTTAGCAGACACTCTTATCCAGAGCGACTTACAGTTAGTGAATGTAATTATTTTATTTTTTTTATACTGGCCCCCCGTGGGAAACGAACCCACATCCCTGCTGGCCACACCCTCCCCTACCTTGGACCAATTGCGCGCCGCCCATGGGTCTCCCGGTTGCGACAGAGCCTGGATTCGAACCAGGATCTCTAGTGGTACAGCTAGACGCTGCGATGCAGTGCCTTAGACCACTGCGCCACTTGGGAGTCATTGTACAGTAACATCACCATTGTAGCTGCAGTTTCAGTAGCATGATAATATAACTCACTGCAACATACACTGTGTGTAACAGTGTAGCCTTGGTCTGGTCACTATGTATTACCTCTGACTGTCATATAAAATCTGTTCTCAAATACTGATTTGTTTCACATTGTGGTAAGAGACAGGATCATGATTAGAAACAGATGTTCTTTATTTGGTAGGTCACAGGTATTGTATATGACAAGGACAAGGCAGTTGGCTATAACAGGTATATTTACAAACTGACAGAACATGGAAAAGAGAGAAGGGAGAGAGAACCCTAACTGTGGCTACATGGAGCCCCTCTCTGGTACAGAGTAAATTATCTCCAGGTTTACTGCATGATAAATAAGTGTGTCTCACATGGGCATTTGTGACCGCATGGAAACCCCACTGGGCACACACTGGTTGAATCAACATTGTTTCCATGTCATTTCAATGAAATGACGTTGAACCAACATGGAATAGATGTTGAATTGACATCTGTGCCGAGTGGGACAGCACGCACCCTAAGAGGAAACAGCTAGCTACACACACACACACACACACACACACACACAAGTCTTAAAACCTGAGACTGGGGAAAGCCCTATAGCAATGTCTCCCTCTCTCCCACTGTCTCTCTATTAGGACTCCATACCTCACTCCATCCCTCACTCCTTCACAAAGTCCCTTCCTCATTCCCTCTCTCGCACTCTCTCCCTCCTTCACTCTCTACCCCAGACCTTGTTATAGTTGTGAGTTATTGTATGACATGGGTTATTCAGGGTCCAGTCACTTTTAGGTGTATAGAATTATATAAATCCTACTTGCCTTTTATAGTTTCGTATAAATAGTTATTTCCTTTTTTATAAAAGGTGATCGTAGGAGTCTTGGCTGGAATGAATGAATAAATGAATGAAGAAATTAGTGAATTAATGAATTCTTGTTATCCCTGGGCAGGGTCTGAGTGAGCGCTGGAACCTCCCTGGGAGAATCTCAATTGCATTGCCTTGATTCCTCGCGACCTCTGACCTTCTCATCCAATGGGTTTTGAGAAGGAGAGAGGATGCGAGGAATCTAGGAAATCCAATTGAGATGATCTCCCTGATCAAGTCTCACATCCTCCTTATCCATCACCAGCCACCATTCTAAAGCACCACTGTGAATACTGCCATCTTCTCCTTTCTAACCATAAGACACACGGGAGAGGATAAACAGGAGTGGAGGAGAAGAGAGAAGGAGTGGAGGAAAGGAAGTGGAGCAGATGACAGACAGTGGTGATGGAGAAGGAGTGGATTGGAGTGGAGGAGAGGGCATCCAGAGGTGATAGAGATAGAGTGTGGAGGACATGGGGAGGTGGCAAAGTAATTAGTTGTGGTGTGTTCAGTGAGAGAACAGTGGTTTATAGACCACGCGGGAACGTGTAGAAATGAACTCACTGACTTCCAGTAAATCCTCACTCTCTCTGTTGGGTTCACACAGCAACACACACACACACCCCACCATGTTTTCTGTTAAGTCGATTTTTTTTTTTTATTAGCACACACGAGCTGCTCCATTACTCATTGCACACACATCTTGTTGGGCTTTAAAGAGCATCTAGCTCTGTTCTATGGGAAGTTTAGTCTAGGACTCATGACCTGTGGGACACTGGGAATTTAAATTTTCTCATGACTCCTGTGGACTCCTCATGGACAGTCAAATAAGTGATATGAAGAGCAGACAGACATAAATACTCAGGGAGGATAGAACACATCTTCCACATATCCTGGAGTTTTCTGAGTGACCAGAGAGCTGTAACTGTCACACACACACAGAAGGTGCTGGAGGTTCGAAGGCAAGCAGCTGGAGTTTCAATCAGACCTAGGGTTTAAGGGGAGCATGAGGTGAGGGGGGGGGGTTGAGTAAGTGGACGTGTGTATTTTTGTCTCAGTGGAGGTGTGTGTTGTCGGCACCAGCCAGGTGTTGAGTGGGGGGCCAAAGCTTGGTGATGATGGAGGTTCAATCGTCTTGTAGCGTAAAGTACGAGTCAGCTCATACCTCACTGTCACCAACACAACTAAGCCCGCCCCCCTGGCAAAGTAGTTGGTGGCTGTGTGTGTTTGTGCACACATTTGTGTTTGTGCATGCGCACGTAAGTGGCTGTGCGTGCATATGTGTGTTTGTGTGTGTTATTCACATCCTGTGTGTGTGTGTGTGTGTGTGTGTAGACCTCCTTGGTGTCTCTGGAGTGACAGACAAAGTGACACTCACAGAACAACCATTCATGACATCACTGAATTAAACTCCACTTATTTTACAGGCAAACAAGGAAGTGAAGGAAAACCAATTATAAAAAGTCCCTCTTGTAGGTCCACTTGTAATTGACTTAAAGCGGAGTAGCTGCTTTCATGTCCTGTGGTCATGTTGGGTTTTGAGTTACTGCCAGAAGTACTTTGTCAAATAAAACACAATTTTATTTGTCACATGCTTCGTAGACAACAGGTGTAGACTAACAGTGAAATGTTTACTTACAGGTAAATTTCAAACAATGCAGTGTAAAAAAAAAAAAAAAAAAAGATCAAAAAAATAAATAAATTGTGACATGATGAATAAATAATGGGGGTAGAAGCTGTTCAGGGTCTTGTTGCTTCCAGACTTGGTGCATTGGTACCGCTTGCCGTGCGGCAGCAGAGAGAACAGTCTGTGGCTTGGGTGGCTGGATTCTTTGACAATTTTTGGTGCTTGGTATAGAAGCCCTGGATGGCTGGGAATTCGGCCCTGTGATGTACTGGGCCGTACGCACTACCCTCTGTAGCACCTTGTGGTCAGATGCCAAGCAGTTTCCATACCAAGGGGTGATGCAGCCAGTCAAGATGATCTCGATAGTGCAGCTGTAGAACTTTGAGGATCTGAGGGACCATGCCAAATATTTTCAGCCTCCTGAGGGGGAAGAGGCATTGTCTTGCCCTCTTCACAACTGTGTTGGAGTGTTTGGACCATGATAGCTCCATAGTGATGTGGACACCGAGGAACTTGAAGCTCCACTACAGTCCCGTCGATGTGAATGGGGGCGTGCTCAGCATTCCGTTTCCTGTAGTCTATGATCAGCTCCTTTGTCTTACTGATGTTGAGGGAGAGTTTGTTGTCCTGGCACCACATTGCCAGGTCTCTGACCTCCTCCCTATAGGTTGTCTCATCGTCGTCGGTGATCAGGCCTACCACCGTCGTGTCGTCGGCAAAAAATGATAGTGTTGGCGTTGTGCACGGCCACGCAATCATGGGTGAACAGGGAGTACAGGAGGGGACTAAGCACGCACCCCTGAGGAGCCCCCATGTTGAGGGTCATCGTGGAAGATGTGTTTTTGCCTACCCTCACCACCTGGGGGCGGCCTGTCAGAAAGTCCAGGATCCAGTTGCAGAGGGAGTTGTTCAGTCCTAGGGACCTTAGCTTAGTGATGAGCGTCAAGGGCACTATGGTGTTGAACGCTGAGCTGTAGTCAATGAACAGCATTCTCACGTAGGTGTTCCTTTTGTCCAAGTGGGAAAGGCTAGTGTGGAGTGCAATAGAGATTGCGTCATCTGTATGCAAATTGGAGTGGGTGATGGTGGTGTTGATGTGAGCCATAACCAGCCTTTCAAAGCATTTCATGGCTACAGATGTG